ACACACATTAACATAATAGGAATACAGCTACATAACAAAAGCAGACCTACAATTACCAGCCATCTCCAGTGAAACCAAGAAAACCAGTTAGGCACCCTAGGCATTTGTGAAAACTTATCAATGATATGATGGATATTGTCTAACTGAATTTGAATAGTTTGAGAAAAATCAGACAAATTAAAACAATGCATTCCTGGGAACTGTTCACATCCCATATGTTCTTTTAACAGTAGATAGTCTATAGTTGCACGATTTTGGAGAACTGCAACTTGCACTTCTCCTAATTCTTGGTTGAGTTCCGACAGTATAGATCCAGTCAAATTTGTTGTTTTACTGTATGCACACGCCAGCTTAAATATCTCCTTCTTCATTCCCATGGCAAGTCCAGGAACTGGTGGGATGAATGCATCTACAACTGCAACAGTGCCAGGATCTTTGTTGAAGTTTTTTGATGATCATCTTCTGGAATGATTCTTCCAGAGGATGTTGATGTTGGAAGTTCTCCTTCATATTGTATCTTAATTCATTTTCTGTGTAGCCAAATTAGGCTTTGATCCTCTGTATAAACACAAACAAACCCTTTGGCAAGGGCTGCACTTTTAAAGGAGGACTTGACTTGGGAAAGATCAGCTTCCAAGCTCATTCATGTGGTTGTTGGAAGGCATTGGTTCCTTACTGGCTGTTGCCTGGAGACTACCTCCTCACCACATGGGCCTCTCCTGGGGCTCTTCAGCTCTCCCCAGTGTGAGTGCACTTGAATGGAGAGAGAGCAGGAGCACCTAAGGTAGAAGATTTTATAACCTAATTTTGGAAGTAGTTGGTTAGCACTTCTGCTGTATACTGTTGGTCACACAGAACAACTCTAATAAGTGAAAGGGGACTAACACAAGGTATAAATACAAGAAAATAGGGCCAATTGGGAACCATTTTAGTGGTACCACATTAAAACATTCAGGAATCTGACTGCTCTTACAAATGGACACCTTTCAGCTCTATAAGAAGAGCAGACAAGAGTTAATTCAGTCGTTTCCCATTTCTCCCACCCAAGGAAAACCAGCCCCAGTTCTTATAATAGCTCTTTGCATGATGTGTTTTGTCTTCTCCTGTTACCTCAGTTGTGACATGTCCTATCCATATTTATCTGCTGATTTTAAACATCTGGGTTCTAAATTACAGTTTATGTTAAGAGTATAATCTCTAAAGTCTGACTGCTTGGTTTTGAGTCCCTACTCCTCCACTTACTAGAGGACAGGTCACTTACTGTCACTTACCTTCCCTTTTCCTTACATGTCTAGTCTGTAAAGTGGGAATAGTGTTCATTCTTTCTTCATAGAATTGTGAATATTAAGTGAGTTAATGCATGTTAAGTCTTTTGAATAATGTTCAAAATAATGAATACCCAAAATAGTAGCTGTCATTAGTATTGTTGGTTCTGTCATTGTAAGTAGGGTAATGTTTCTCCAGTGTGTAACCAGTACTTGCCTCATTCTTGCTTAAACTTAGCATGATGGGTAGTTTTGGAGTGTGAAGAGTTTATACATGGTGCTAGTATAAAGTCACACACCAATCTCTTCAGCTTTCCTATTAGTTGAAATGAAAAAGTAGAGCATTGTTTTCAGTTGTTGAGATGCCTTTTGTGTGGAGAAAAGAAACATAGTGATGTGTTTGTTTCACCAGTGGGATCTGTTTTTTGTAATATATGATTGTCTTTTCCAGTTTTGGCATATTTATTTTCTAGCTTTTAAAGCCTGTTACCAATATGATGATGAAAATAAAGCTCATTAAAAGTATTAAAAAATTTCATGTGATCATATTCTATGATGTTAATAGGTTTAAAGATAATTTAGTTTTTCAGTTCTTACCGAAAATGAGTTTCTATGCTATCATTTAGGTTGAAATTACTTGTCTTTTAAAAAAATCATCCTAGTAAAGATCTATTCTATGTTACCAAATTATCAATACCCTGTCTATATTGAATTATGTTACCTGTTTTCTTACAGTGTTCGTATTTCTTCAAAGAAAACCACCATTGACATTGCTAATTTTGCTTATGATTTGGCTTTTTATATTTAAAAATTATATTGTTTTGGAAGTTGCATAATGTGATTGTTTAATGACAAATCAGCAAGAATTAATGTTGAATGTAGTTTTTAGTTTTCCTATCCTGAGCTAAACGTATAGGTATCTTTTGTTTCCTTAACAGATAGCAAACAATAAAGATGCATTAAGGAAGACATGGAACCCTAAGTTTACATTACGAAGTCACTTTGATGGCATTAGAGCCCTTGCTTTTCACCCCATAGAGCCTGTTTTGATAACAGCATCAGAGGATCACACGTTAAAAATGTGGAATTTGCAGAAAACAGCCCCAGCCAAAAAGTGAGATAATTCTACTTTTAACTGTATTTGAATATTTTAATTAACTTTATTTGCTATTAAATTACCCAAATTATCTTTTCTAATTGTTTTTTATTCACCAATCACATAATTTAGATTGATTTTTTTCCCCTTATACTCACAATCTGATAATAGGTTGGAAAATTGACATTTAGAGGGAACAGTATTATCTAATGGTTTCCCAGGGTTTGTGATGCTGACTATAATCTTCATATAGTGTTTTGAATGCCTGTCATATTTGGGGAGCCCTCTATCTGTATGGAAGGTTCCTACTGTTGTTGTAAACAACAGGCATGTTTAAAATCATCAGATCCCCATCCCATCCTGCCCTATTGAGGGGAGGCTGTTTAGGAGAAGTGAAGGACCTCTTTTTGATCTTGTCTTTTGGCCATGACCCTTCAGGTACTTTAAATACCTGCCAAAATGTCTAGACTGAAAGGCACTGTTGTCATCGTTTAACTATTTTTGCTTTACTTGACTCTTTGGTTGCTCTCCAAGTATGAACAGAAATAAATTGGTATAAACTTTCATCCCAATCACCCCACATGGTACAGTCCTTATTGAAGCTCCTTCTCTTTTCTTCCTTGGTTCACATGGTCCAGAACCCAGTTTCTGCCAGCAAGGGTCCTTCTGAAGTGTCAGACACTTCTTTTAGTAGAAGACTAGAAATGATTATCAAATAGAGGAGATAACACAAGTTTTACTATGAGTAGACGGTATCTGTTGCCAAGTTTAAAGGAGATCAGTGGAATTCCTGCTGTTGGTTGTACACAGACTAGATAAAACAGTTGATTAATCAGTCTTCATCAGCTAACTGAACCAGATTTCACTACTACCAAGTGAATCCTCATATGGATCAAGTATCTTCAGTAGAGAAAATACTTCCTGGCTATGAATTGTGCCTTTTGTCTTTCTTATTCTGTGGTCACAGTGGGCATCACATTGGACTAGAGAATGTGAATGACTCATCATATAGTCTTGACTAAAATTTAGAAAAATAATGAAACAAGCTTCTTGCTGGTGATAGCTTAGTAGTAATACCTTCACATGTCAATAACAGCAGCCTGTTTACCTTAAAACTTTGGAAGTGACTTGAGGAGAGATACCGTATGCTTATAAAAAACTGCAATACAGTGTAGAAATGGCAAGTACTTGACTTTAGATCCAGTTCCCATTAGCAGTCATGGTCTGTGTTAGGCACTGTAGAGCACCCATACGCTCAGTGTTCTGAGTAGTCAATGTACTGATGACTTGGGAAATTTCTACAACTACAAAGGATAGACATAATAATCTTCATGAGAATGCAAGGAAATTAAAGTACCATTTATTGAAATCCTACTATGTACCTGATTATGTCCTAGGCTGTTTTAGCATCTCATTTAGCCCTATATTTGGTGTTATCCTATTTTTCTGTTTTGTTTTAAACAAAGAGGAATCTGAAGTTCTAAAGATTAAATAATTTACCTAAACTTAGCCAGTTAATGACAGAACTGGAAATTGAATTGAGAAATTTATCTCTTCAAAACCCATGATGTTTCCCCTTAGTGAGGCTCTCCCTTTAGTCAAATAGATTATGACAATGCTGAAAGCACTATAACAAGGTATTATTATTACTAAACAAAGATTTTATTTCTTGAGGCCACAGAAAATATGTGATGTGTTAGGTAAGCTTTCTTATGTGCCCTGAGGTTGAGAATGGTATATTACCACAGTGTTGATATTTCTAAAGGCAGTTTTATGACATATATTCAGTCATACTGTTTACTACTGAAACTTATAGAGTGGTAAAAGTTCTCTTCTCTCTCTAATTTAGGAGTACTTCTCTTGATGTGGAGCCCATCTATACATTCAGGGCCCATAAGTAAGTATGTGATTTTTCTTTGTTTTAAATTAAACATCACTGACTTGATTTATATCACTGTCAATCAGTTTAATTAGAATACTTTATTTTCTTTCACTTAATGTCTTTTTTGTATTCAGTAGCATTTTTTAAAAATATAACAAAGTAGCAAGTAAAAAATGTTAAAAACAAGTTTATCTCTACTAAATAGGAATCCTTGCTAAAATAAGATTTTATGTGCATGATGTTTAAATGATTTCTCTCAAAATAAAGTTGAGGCAATTAGGTTTAATATTAGAAATCTTGACCTTTTTTCCCTTAAAGATAACTAAGTAAAAGTGAGAATTTTTAAATTGTGACTACATATTGCATGCTTTTGCTGTTTTCCATTTAAGCTTAAGGAGTACACCTATTCACTTGATTTAGCAGAGAGATTTTTTTAATATAAAGAGCACATAGTAAATATTTTTTAGGTTTGGTGGGCCACGTATTTTCTGTACATTTTTGTTTTTAGTTTAGTTTTACAACCTTTTAAAAAACGTGAAAACTGTTCTTAGTTCGAGGACTATACAAAAATAATCCACTAGCTGGATTTGCCCTATGTGCCGTATTTATCAACTTCTGGTTTAAAAGAGGAAGAAAAATGAACAATGTTTTGATTTTTGGTATTTTTATTCATTGTGTAAAGCAGAAAAATAGCCATTTGAATAATTAAGCACTCTTACTTTTAACAAGTTATATTATCAGATTGATTTTTGAGGATAGAAATTGATTTTTATCTCCCAGGGGTCCAGTGCTTTGTGTGGTAATGAGCAGCAATGGTGAGCAGTGTTACAGTGGTGGTGCCGATGGACTGATCCAGGGCTGGGCCACCACCAACCCCAACATTGATCCCTATGACTCTTATGGTATGTGACTCCCCAAAGACAGGAAAGAATAAAGTGTTTTCTTTTTACACATTTCACATAGCATATGTAAGGATAAAATAAGATATTTCTGAAAACTAGATTTGTAAAAGAGAACCATGTCTTTATTTTGTTAAAAAGGTCTCCTGCATTTAGGAATCAATTTGATATATAATGTTAAATGAAAAATATATTCTTCCTGAGAAAACAGTTCCCACCCCACTGAAGTCTTATTTATTGGAAATGCTGGCTTGATTGACAATTGTTTTCTTCATTTTAGGCATCTGTATAATACTTGATACACTATTACTAATCTGTAATCATAGTTTATCATTATTTTTGACAAACAACTTTCAGTGAATGGAAAATGAATGTTGGCACCATCTTCTTAATCAGTTATTGGAGGATATAAAGAGAGGCTAATGACTTTTAAACTCCATGGCACCAAAGTATTTAAGAGGCTTTAAAAATTAAGAAGTGTACTTCATCTTGGGAACAGTACCATGTGAACCATAAATTTGTATTATAATCTATCACTAGATATTACCATAAAATCCCTTATAAGAACTATTTAGGAATTGAGTATTTTGGTTTCCTCTTAAATTCTAGAATTGTATGAAGTGTCACATTTGTCATAAAACCATATTTTATTTTCATTATCACTTTAGATTAATTTTACCACTAAACCTAAGTAATGATAAGAAATTTAATGAACAAAAAAAATATCCCAACATTTATTTAATAAAGCACTTAACATATATTTTGTGGAATGTAAACCCCTTCTCCCTCCCTAACTCTCTTACTCTTTATATGTTCCATGTTTTTCCTTACTTCCGTTATCTCTGTATCAGAGGGTCAGTTGTCCTCATTCTGTTGTCCCAAGCCAGCCATTCCCCTTTCGCTCTTGACCTCGTTCTCTCTTCATGCATATCCTGAGCATGAACTCTTTCTTCAATCCCTCTTCCTGTCTGGCTTCTCTTTAGTCTCTCTTTCATCATGTATGTCTCTCTGGTAATATTGTCTAGAAAGCACAACTCTAGTTATTAGTTCCATATCCTTTCCCTATGCACATTCCTCTGCATTCTGTCTTCTAGCTCTACCACTTAAGTATAACGAGATTACCAGTGACTACCTAATTGGCTGGTCTAGGGGGAGTATTTTATAATCCTTATTTTATTAGATGTATTGGCTGTCTGAAAAAACCATGGACTACTACATCCTATTTGAAATTTGTCCACTACTGGCTTTGTTGACACCTTAAAAGCTTCTGTTGACTATGCTTCGTATATTTTTCTTTTTCTCACCTTAAATATTTGTACTTGTCAAGCCTCAGACCCTCATCCTTTGTATACATATTCTTTGGTAGATTGAATCTACATTTATGCTTTTATATGCTTTTGACTAATAAATCTCTCCTTTAAGCCTCAGACTGCTTACAGAACATTTCAGGGAGATGGTGTCATTATCCGTAAATCCCTACAAGTGCTGTGTTTCTTTTCCTACCTATTCTTCAGTAGTTGGTGGCACTACCAGAATGACCCAACCTAGAAACCTAAGAGTGTTCTTGATTTCTTGTTCTGTTTTACTACCTACACCTAGTTAATTACTTAGTCTTTGATATCACCCCCTACGTATTTCTTGAATTTACTATCTGCTGTGCCCTGCTTACCGTTGTCCTACTTGGGGCTTCATCACTGCTCTCCAGGCTGCGGACACAGTCCCCCTTGCTTTCATCTTGGTTCTGTCTGGTCTGTCTTCCACACTACAGCCACAGTTATCTTAACGGAATACTTTGTTTATCCACTTCTCCTGGGAACCCCTTCAGTCATTCCCTATTGCTTTCAGGATATTACCAAGTACCTTAATAAGCCATACAAATTCTACCATAAACTCTCATCCACTTCCTGATCAGACTTCACACTACAGTAATACCAAATTGCTTATAAATTCCCTCACACATCATGCTGTTTTTCCTTCTGCAGTTTTCTAGGTTCTGCCTCCTTTGTCAAGAATGCCTTTCCTCTGTTCTTTGACTGGCCAACATGGGCACACTCTAGGTGTCACTCTCTTTTAGAAGCTAACACTCATCCCAGTTAACTCTCCATGGTAACTGGTATCCATCACTGTTACTGTACTTAGCACATGGTCTTTTTCTTTTTTTGATATCATTAATATACAATTACTTGAACAACATGGTTATTAGACTCCCCCTATTATCAAGTCCCCCTGACATACCCCATTACAGTCACTGTCCATCAGCGTAGTAAGATGCTATAGAATCACTGCTTGTCTTCTCTGTGTTATACTGCCTTTCCCGTGTCCCCCCACCCCTGCTACAGTATGTGTGCTAATCGTAATGCCCCTTTTCCCCCCTCATCCCTCCCTACCCACCCATCCATCCCAGTCCCTTTCCCTTTGGTAACTGTTAGTCCATTCTTGGGTTCTGTGATTCTGCTGTTTTGTTCCTTCAGTTTTTTCTTTGTTCTTATACTCCACAGATGAGTGAAATCATTTGATACTTGTCTTTCTCTGCCTGGCTTATTTCACTGAGCATAATACCCTCTAGCTCCATCCATGTTGTTGCAAATAGTAGGAATTGTTTTCTTCTTATGGCTGAATAATATTCCATTGTGTATATGTACCACATCTTCTTTATCCATTCATCTACTGATGGACACTTAGGTCGCTTCCATTTCTTGGCTATTGTAAATAGTGCTGCAACTTTTTTCTGAATGCATCTCCAGCAAGGGAAACAAAAGCAAAAATGAATAAATGGGATTACATCAAGCTAAAAAGTTTCTGTACCGCAAAGGACACCATCAACAGAACAAAAAGGCATCCTACAGTATGGGACAATATATATGTAAATGACATATCCAACAAGGAGTTAACATACAAAATATATAAAGAACTTACACACCTCAGCGACCAAAAAGCAAAAAACCCAATTAAAAAATGTGTGGAGGATATGAACAGACACTTCTCCAAAGAAGAAATTCAGATGGCCAACAGGCACATGAAAAGATGCTCCACATCACTAATTATCAGGGAAATGCAAATAAAAACCACAATGAGATATCACCTCACACCAGTAGGGATGGCCAGTATAGAAAAGACTAAGAACAACAAATGCTGGTGAGGATGTGGAGAAAGGGGAACCCTCCTACACTGCTGGTAAGAATGTAAGCTAGTTCAACCTTTGTGGAAAGCAATATGGAGGTTCTTCAAAAACTACCAAACAGAAATACTATTTGACCCAGAAATTTCACTTCTAGGAATTTACCCAAAGAAAACAACCTCTCAGTTTCAAAAAGACATATGCACCCCTATGTTTATCGCAGCACTACTTACAATAGCCA